CATCGCCGCCATCATCACCATCACCACCCTGCCCCTCCTCAGTCCTCCGAGCGAGGAGCACGAGGAGCAAATACCGATGCCTTGCCAGCCGCTGCTGGCCGCTGCCCTCCGCATCGGTCGCCAGCCGGCGCGCGGCCGACCCGGCGCGCCCAGGCCGGCATTAAAGAACACATCGGCCGCTGGCGGCGAAGGCCTCTCGGGGCCGTGGTCGTTTGGCCGCCGCGAGCCCAGGCCCTCGGCGCTGTGCTTTGAAAGCCCTTGCCTCCCCCGACCAACCAGCCGTTCGGGCTTCCCCCCCCCCACCAATCCTCCTCCTCCTCCTCCTCCTCCTCCTCCTCCTCCTCCTCCTCCTGCTCCTCCTCCTGCTCCTCCTCCTGCTCCTCCTCCCCCTCCTCCCCTCCTCCTCCTCCTCCTCCTGCTCCTCCTCCTGCTCCTCCTCCTCCTCCTCCTCCTCCTCCTCCTCCTCCTCCTCCTCCTCCTCCTCCTCCTCCTCCTCCTCCTCCTCCTTCCTCCTCCCCCATTCGAGGCTCAAGCCCTGAGTCCAGGGAAGCCAGGCCCTGGATCCGGAGAGGAGCGCAGCCGGAGATCGGCACCGACCTCCTCCTCTCTCGTGCGGGGCTGCCATGCGAGGGGCGCACTCGCGCGAGCGGAGGCGGTGGCCACAGCTCCATTTAAGTCGGGCATGTCCCCCTACAGGCTGGCTTTGGCCGAAGAATGCTCAAAAGATGCCCAACAATACTCAAAAAATAGTCCCCGGACCATTTTTGAAACTATTTTTGAACATTCCACCTGTAGAGGGACAGGCCCGACTTAAAGCTACATGGATTCAAACGCCACGTGCTGCCGCGGCGGCTCTGTCCTCCTCCCCCCCACTCACACTTCGGCCTCTGGGGTAAAACGAAGCCAAGACGAGGATCAAATCGAATGAGGATGAATCGAGAATCTCTGAGATCCGGCGGCTCTGGAGCATGTCTCGGGCGCCGCGTCCTTCTCAGAGAGTTCTGGAACGCTCTGATAGCGTTCCAGAACGCTCTGGAACGGATTGATCCTCGTCCTATTCCTGTCCGAGCTTTCTGGACCCCAGGCATTCGCATATTGTTAGTTCGCGCGCGCGCGACGGCTCTCAGGGGTCCCCCGACGAAAAGTACCCCGGCAAGGTCCTGGCAGACTCTCCTCGGAGATGGATCTCCTGGGCGCGGCACCGAGAACCCCAAGACAGCCCCAAGATGGTCCAATGGAGCTCCAAGGGCCTCGAGACGGCCCAAGATTGCTTCAAGACGGCCCAGAAGGCTCCCAAGACGGCCCAAGAGCGCTCCAAAACGGCCCAAGATGGCCTCAAGACGGCCAAATTTGTCCCCAAGACGGCCAAAGAGTGTCCCCCAGAGAACCCAGCGAGGCAACATTCGTAAATTTCTCTGAAACCCTTGACAGATTTTGCAGTTATTGCTTTTCTGAGCTTCCGACAGCCCCAGACACCCCAAAAGGCACCCGAGATCGCTGCAAGACGGCCCGAGAGGCCTCCAAGGAGGCCCAGTACGGCCCAGGAGGCCCACAAGACGGCCCAGGAGGCCCCCAAGAGAATCCCCAAAAGGGGCCAAGAGAGGGAAAGCGAACTGACATGTAGCGTCTTTTCCTCCCAAGACGGCCTCCAAGACTGCCAGCAGGCCCCCAATAGCCTCCAAGAACCTCACAAGAGGCCCCAAGAGGCCCCAAAGCGGCCCCAAGAGGCCCCCAAGAAGAGGCCCCCAAGAGGCCCCCAGACGCCCCAGAGAGGCACCCAAGAGGCATGAAGCCCCCACGAGGCCTCTAACTGATCAGCCTCCAGGAGGCCCCCCGAGAGGCATTTCAAGAGAACCCGAGAGGCATCGAACACGCCTCTGACCCACGACCCAGGCACGTTGGCGTGATGCACTGACGGAGCTTCGGTGGGGGCGTGCTCCCTTGAGTGTCGCCTCACAACTATCCAGCCAATGGTATTTCCCCCAGACGGAGTTCACGTGACAGCTCAGGGAGGTGGCCGCCACCAACCACCTTCTCAGCCCCCGCGAGCACGCAAGTGAATGCCAGCCATGATGTAGCATGGGCAAGCGGAATGAGCGAAACGACAGCAAAAATAGCATCCTGCGATGGAAACCCAGTCCCAGGGAAGGGGTCGGGAGCTCGCTCTGGAGGCCCGCAGATTGAGAAATCGTGACGTCGGAGGTCTGAGCTCATTCCTTTTCAAAGGCTGCCCTTACACTTAGGTCGCGCATGTCCTCCAACATGTGGATGTAGGACGAACAACAAAAGTTACACAACAATTCAAAAATAGTCCAAACTAAATGTACAATATCGTCCCCGGGCTATTTGCTTAGACCATTTGGGGATATTCCTCCTCGACGTGCGACTTAACCTTACAGTCAGCACATACGATATGTCAACGTTTTCTTACTCGGCGTTTCGACATTGGGCGGAAGGGGGGGGAGGGGGGGGTCTGGCTCCGGACCTCTGCTTAGTGCGACTGCTTGCAGCAGTGCGGCCGATGGGGGAGGGACCCCACCTGCTCATAACAGGCGACCAAAAAAGCCAAGATCTACTCCAGGGGAAGCGGGAGGGGGGGGGGGGCCGAGGGCCCGCGCCGATCGGCAAACAATGAATAAGAAAACGATCACTATGAAGTCTTGCTCTCAGAAATCTAGGGTTAGGTCGGGCCTGTCCCCCGACCGGGGGATCCAAAGCCAAAGATCAAAAATGGTCAAAGAGTACCCTAAAATAGCCAGAAATGATCATAAAATCGTCCCCAGACTATTTTTTGACTGTTTTTGAACAGTCCCCCTGCAGAGGGACACGCCCGACGTAAATCTGGGGGCGCACCTCCTGCCTCGAACCTGAGCTCCGAAGCGGTGCCCCGGGGCTCCTCCGCGGGGCCCGTGGGAGGACAACACACGTCGGTCGGAAGAAGTAGGTAGAAACATGAAGTAGGAAGGCGGATAAAGCGGATTTTTGTCTTCCCCCCCACTTCCCGTATTTTCCAATGTTTTCTGGGGAGTCGAGGGTTCATTGTGTCTGTGCTCTTTTTCCCTCCCGAAGCATGCCACGCCGAAGCGTGGTGGGCCAGGGCCGGCGGCCGACTGCATGCGTGTGCCAGCTCTCCCTCGCGCGAGGGGCAACGGCAGAGTCGGCCTCGATTGGACAGGACACGCGAGAGGACACGAGACCCTTCCGAGGACCACATCGCTGCAGGAGTGTGAGAAGGCCCGTGTCGCGAGGCACGGGACACAAAGGGTACACGTCGGTCGGAAGGGGTAGGTAGAAACATGAAGCAGGAAGGCGGGTAAAGTGGATAGGGTCCAGGTCCTCCCAGAGAATCACAAAGCACAGCACAAGCATGTCGATTCTTGAGGTGGGGAGGCGCTTGAGGTAGATGGGGATCTGGGAATCCAAGAACACCTACTTTCAACGACCGGCGTGTACTCTTCTCGCGAGGGCACCCGCTCTCTCGCAGGCCGGCCTCTCTTCTCTGGCGCACCCACCCGCACTCGCCGGCCGCTCGAACCGCTTGCACAGTCCGTCGCTCGGAGCGAGCCTCGTCGGCGGCGTCTGCGAAGGCAAGGGGGCCGACCGGTTCCACGCGCAGACGTCGGCACCGCATCGTCGCAACAATCGAGCGGTGGACGGCCCTGCCTGAGGTCAGGGAGCGCCAGGCACAGAAGAGCGAGAGACACAGATCGCTGCTGGCGTTCTGGGCCAGCTCTAGCGTCCAGGAGCCAGGATGGAGGCCATTGGGTCGCTCGCGGCCCAGGGACCGTCAACAACTACCAGCTTTAGGTCGGACATGGCCTCCTACAGGCGGGATTTGGAAGAAAGTAAAAAATAATCCAGAAATATTCCAGAATAGTTCAAAATAGACAAAAATATTCAAAATAGTAAAGAAGATTCAGAAGTAGTTGAAATACTATGTTTGAATATTCCTCATGCAGAGGGGCAGGCCCGACTTGATACCAGCTGTGAGAAGCTGGTCTCAGGGACGGGGTCGCGAGAGCCCAAGGACACGCGTCGGGAACAAGCACCACGCAGGGGCCTCCCGAAGACCCCCACCGCAAAACTGCCAAGGTACAGCAGGGACTCGACCACGAGAAGCTTTCCACAAGAATAGGGGAACGAAGAATCACATAGACATAAGAACTCGGAGGTCCGCGCGGATTTCTCGGATCCGCGCTGGGGCCCCTTGGCGGTTCCTCCGACGCCGACCCTGGCGCGCTCCGCGCGCCAGGGAGGGGGGTCCAGCGCCGATCCGAGAAATCCCCGCGGACCTCCGAGTTGTTATGTTTATGTCATTCTTCGTTCCCCTACTGAGACCCCAGGACGTCCATTGAGCTTTTGGTGTGGGAGCGCCACGCTTTCCACAGCAGGGCCTTTCGAAACCCAAGAAACCCAGGGGCACCCTGGAGGCAAGCAGGGTGCTTCCTGGCATGTCGGCGGTGGACAAACCACCCTTTAGTAAACCTCCTTTTAGTGAAAACGGCCTGGGACCCGCAAAAATGACGGCCGCGACGCCCTCTCGCGAACCGAAAACGGCCAATGCGCTCATCGACGTGTCAGGGTAGGAGGTCTGTACACCCCCGAGCATGGGCCTCCACTGCCTGCAGAGCCTCGTGATCACCTCGATACTCTGGCCGGGGGGCCCGGCCTGGCCGCCCTGTGCCTCCTGGCACGCGGGGGAGGCCCGACGACCACGGCCCTCGGGGCGGGTGCAGACCGACACAACTCGGGAGGCCAGTGCAGTCGTGAGCAGAAAGGTCGGCGGCGAGCCCCGGGGGGCGGGGGGGGAAGCGAGGAAGGGCGGGGCTTCTCCGCAGGAGGCCGGGAGGACGTTCGGCCCTCCGAGAAGTCTCGGAGGCCCTCCCCGAGAAGGCACAGAGCAGACTTCTCAGGGGAGGCGCGGGGACTCCTGGGGAGTCCCGCCGCCTTCTGCGAAGGCCGTTTCCTCCTCACTTCCCGCCCCCCCGCTCGCCGCCGAGAAGGCGGGCGGCGTCAGCGGGATCAGGAGCAGGAGGGGAGGCACGCTGGCCTCAGGGCGAGCGCCGCCAGATCGGCCTGGCCTGCCCGCGCAGGCCCACGCCCGGCGTGGAGATCGCACCGCCGCCCAGGGGAGAGGTGCCGCGCGGACCACGCGAGGGCTCAGTTTCGGGACCCGCCAAAGGGGGGGGGGGATCCTGAGGGGGGCACGAGTTCGATCTGCTGGTGCGGCCGAACTGACGACGACAGGGGCCCCCCGCACGCCCCACCCATCGGCAGCCATCGGGGGCTGCCAGCGGCTGGGGGGCATCTGTTTCGGGAGGCTCGGTGCAGAAACCGATCGAACTCTCACTCAAACACACACACACACACACACACACACACACACACACACACACACATCGTGGGGAAACCAAAAGGTACCGATACCGCTACTCCCTGGACCTCTCCTGGGGTGCGTTCTGACCAGGATTTCGAGGCGAATCCAGCGGTGGCGACGAGGGCCGCCCAGGAGGCCGAAAAAGGGGAAAACGGAGGAAGGGTAGAGGTATGGGTACTTTTTCCTCCTTCGACATCGGGGCACACACCCACTTTGCGGGATCCCGACGGTTGCGGATGACCGGGCGCTGCCCCGAAGCCTCGGCGGCGAGAGCCCCAGCGGGGCGTGCGAGAGAGAGGGCACGCCTGCTCGGAAGGCGGCGGGCCTCTCCGGGGCACTCTCCGCGCCTTCCGACAAGCCTTGATTGCAAGCCTCCTGCGAAGCCACGGGCGGCTTCTCGAAAGGCCGGAGTGCTTCCAAGAAGCCCCGCCGCCCTCTGAGAATCACTTCCCCCCTGGGCTCGCCGCCGGAAGGTGGCCCTGGCTCAAGGCGTCCCCAGGATTCCCCAGGAGGCCCTGAGGGCCTCCAGAGCACCCCCCTCGCGAGGCCCAGAGGGCCCCAGGGTCGGATGGCGCGGAGAGCCAGAGCCACCTCGGGCCAGGACCACTCCCGGCAGCACCCGAGATGAGGAGGCAGCAGCAGCAGCAGCAGCAGCAGCAGCAGCAGCAGCAGCAGCAGCAGCAGCAGCAGCAGCAGCAGCAGCAGCAGCAGCAGCAGCAGCGGGGAGGAGCGCCGGCTTCGGCGCGGGACGGGCTGGATCGGCCTGCGCGCGCCGCGCCTGCGCCTGGCGAAGGAGGGAGAGCAGCGCCGCTCGGGGAGACGGGGGCGCGCACGAGCGGCGCACGGAAGGGCGCGCCGCGCGAGAGCTCGGCGGTGAGCCGGGCCCGCGGCAGGCCTCGCTCCGCGCCGCGCTCAGTCCTCGTAGGACTCGGGCATGGCCGCCCGCAGCGCGGACTCCAGCGCCCGCGCGCCGCCGAAGGGCGCCGCGTATAGCGCCAGCAACGTGTCTGGGCGCGCCGGCTCCTGGACCAGAGGAGCGAGGGAGGGAGCGAGGAGCGAGGAGCGAGGAGCGAGGAGCGAGGAGCGAGGAGCGAGGAGCGAGGAGGAGTAGGAGTAGGAGTAGGAGTAGGAGTAGGAGTCAAGCTAGCCAGCTCGAGCGAGTCAAGCATGGCATGCCCAGTCCCACCCGCCCTCCCACAACATAAGAAGCAAAGCTGGCACAACTGGGGGCCGAAGTCACACCGGCCAGCCGGTTTGGTACAGCTGATGCGGCCGCGATGGCGGTTGCCGACGGGAACTGGCGAGCGCGTGTTGAATGCCGCGCACGCATTGCCAGACGAGTCGAGAATGGCCCGGTACACCGCAGGAAGCCAGAGGTGGCCGGAGGAAGCCCGACGGTCTGACAGGACACCCCAAAGCATTTTTGTGAAAAAGCATTGGGTTTTTGATGTTTTTATGTTGAAATGCTTGCAAACACACGGTGTTCGGTAGGATTCTGACATGAACGCGCGAGTGTGCTCTTTGTGGTATTTTTTGCACAGGATTCGCGGCCTGGGTGCATGACAGAGCATCGCGAGTGCACCGCGCGATGACGTGAAATCGCTGGATTTGACCGAATTCTTAAGATTCCTATGGTTTTCCTATGATTTCAGCAAGAGAGCCCGGGCGGGAAATTTGTACAATTTTTGTGAAAAAAAACATTGGGTTTTTGATGTTTTTATGTTGAAATGCTTGCAAACACACGGTGTTCGGTAGGATTCTGACATGAACGCGCGCGTGTGCTCTTTGTGGTATTTTTTGCAATGGATTATCGCCGTGGACGACAGGACGTCCATGTCGAGAGGAAAAAATAAGAAAAATGTTGATTTTGTATTGTTTTTTACAGGTTAGGATGGGACCACCCGGATGCGGCCCCTAATGGCCGGCCTGAGGGGGGAGTAGGAGTATATTCTAATAAGGAATAAGGATAGGAGTAGGAGTAGGAGTAGGAGTAGGAGTAGGGGTAGGAGTAGGAGTAGGAGTAGGAGGAGGAGTAGTAGGAGTAGGAGGAGGAGGAGGAGGAGGAGGAAGAGGAGGAGGCGGCGGAGGAGGAGGCAGAGGAGGAAGAGGGGGGCCTGCACCAC